ATGTATTGTGTTTACATTTTTTTTACGTTAGATAAAAAAAAGATATAAAAATCCTTGTGGGACCATGGACGTTGCCAATTAAAATATATGCTGCCTGGAGTCTTGGCAAAAACCGGACAATATGAAACATGGTACTCATCACAGGAGGTGATTGTGAAACGAGGCTGAGAGCTTCTGGGCAGGAAATTGCGTTGTATCGGTATCAGTCATCGGCACATACACAAGCGCTCACGACATTGCGAGAGTGAATTACCGTTGGGGTCACATGTTTGCTGCGGAGATTTGAATATATTGCACAAATCTGTACAGTGATTATCAAGGGACAGTCGCTTTTCTGCTGCCACGTACGTAAAGGGTAATATCGATGCTAAAGCAATGTTGAAGGGAGTGGGGGGCATTGCACACGCCGACAGGAAGTCCTGGTGCCTCCGGGAAATACGCATTGCCCGTGTGAGCACACAGGGGCCACCAGTGAGATCATGGCTTACGCAAAGGAAAAGGGTGCGGATGGTACGTTGTGTTTCGGGGGTCAGTAGGTGAGAACGTTTGGCAGGACTGAAAGCACTGCTATTGCTTGCGGTTACATTGATAACATGATACCTGCAAAAGCTACAGACGTTGATGGTAATCGTTTTTTATATATTTACATGAAAGAGAAATTCAATGTCACGTGTTTTCTTCTCAGCGACATCGTTAATTAGTAAAAACAAATCAGTTTAGAGTGGGATGTTGCTGATGATCTTTTGACTATTTCTTTATCAATATTTTTTATGTAGGAGGATATTCGAGTGTCTAGAGAAAACTCAAGCAATTGAAAAAGCACATTCAAACTGCAATACCAAGGAGCTAGCAAAAACTTGCTGTATTGTATATGCCTGAGTTCAATCCACATGCATGTTCAAGTAACACATCCACAGGTGAGCCTCTCATCATCAGCCACAATCTATCTCCTGCTAGACGAATCTCCAAAGCCTTCTCTCGCAGTCTTGCGATTCCATGATCAATCTAGCCCCATGCACAGGGACCATTCTCGTCACTTCATCTCTGCGGCAGTCATCCTCTTGGGCGTATTTCCTCCATTGTAATACGCTGCTGTACCAATTGCTACACCGAGGTGCCCCTTAAATACAATGGAATGCTCCCTTTGAAATTAGTAATAGCAGCTGCGGTATATAACACCTCACACGCGTTGATCAATACACCAAGAGAGTTCCACATGTATAGGGGTTATTTACTTTAGCAAAATCTTCACGGTATCCATTGCCAGTTCACCTCTCAAAGAACCAAACTCATGGCCAAGCTGCTCCAACAACGCCAAGCCAGGAGCATTCCAACTTACAATCAACAACCTTTGAGATCCTATTCATTCACAGGCATGTCAGCTTGGTAGTTTATGTGTCTTCTGAGAGTAAAGAACTTTTAAAAAATGTGTTCGGGTAAACAGCATCATGACTCTCCACGCTAAAAAAAGAATAACTTTGGCCCCACGTTGAATTGTAAATCTTCAAAATATGTTTACATTTCGGATACCACTTATCTGTGCAATGACAGTGATACATGTCTTGTTAAAATATTATAGGCAGTTCTTACGTTTGATCATGTTGAGCCTGTGATCTATTGTCCTGTGCAGTATACTTCTGCACAACTTGTAATGAATTCCCCTGTGGATATAATTAGCACCGGCTGAGTTCCTTGCACCTGTGAGGCTATGCTTGGCATGCACAGGGCGTGTGGTGGGCGTCCTGCATCGAAGGTATCACGTGTTGAATGTCACATGACGACCGTGGCTTGTTGTCCCCATGCTTATGCATGTTTGTGTGAGTGTACCAGTGCAACGTCGATATTGTATCTCCACGGGTATGCGTGTGCGTGTGTGTGCTGCGATATGAAGCCGGAGACACGAGTTTGATTCCCGTCTCACGGCCAACACCAGTGACGATTATCTGAACCGATCCTGGGCCTCCCCTAGGTCGACTAAGCCTTAAATGAGTACCTGGTACGATGTGTAAACATCACCACTGGGGACACAAAGGCGGCCCGGCGTGGTGCTGGCCACAAACCCCCTGATGGGGCACTTGCCCCATCAGTCTGTTAAGGCTACACGGGAAATCTTTGTCTTTGTGCAGATTGTATATTTTAGTTTACAATTGTTGGGCGGTAGGCCAGTAATCAAATTGGCCAGAATCTGCTCGGACATGTCACATCTCGGAAGCTAAGCAGGTTTGAGCCTGGGATAGCACTTGAATCAGCTACTACCGTTCATATAACAGGTGCTTGTGGGCTTCTGAAATGCTTCATTATCAGAAGATGTCAGTGCAGTAAAATCCATTGTTGTACGTTATTATGCTCAGACGTTTATTTGCCCTACTTTCACCAACCCTAACCGACCACCCAGCATTATGAAAGTATGCTCAAATAACCCTCACGATCTGTACGATGTGAGTGGGGGGGGGGGGTTCATCCAGCAGTGGATTGAAGAATGGGCAGTACATTTTGTAAGCAATGTACGTTTGAGAATATGTACGTGAGTGTGTGAGTTCGTGCCTTTGAGTGTGCATACCGATGTGGGCACGTGATGGTCTAACTTTGACCGGGTATAAATATAGAGATGATCGTTGGGCGATGGGAGAGGGTATACATTACCGTATTGACCACAACTTACCTTTGTGTCTCTGGTACTGTGATTCATATATTTTGTTCATATGTTATGGTCTTGTTTGAATTAACATTGATAGGTTAATGTATGTTGGTAACACAGCCTGCAATCATTCTTTAGACTCGAAGGGAGATTTGGGGATTATTTTAACAAATATGTCTGCTGTAAGAAAAATCATTCCAGATAGTTTGGTCCAAAAATATGCTTCTGTTTTCATGACAAGTGTCATGATGAAAATTTGGAGGTGATTGTTTGAAACATGTATTTGAGGAATACGAAAAATGGTATTCTTCTACAAAATACAAATGTGTATTTAACAGTTTATAAATAGCCATGTTAGCCTCAGATGGAAAGTTCCACATTTAAGGCAGCCTCGGTAAAAAAACGTCTAAATCATCCGAATAGTACATTATGTGTATACTTTAGAAGTTAATCGTTTTAGAAAATAAGGCTCATTTGTGTAATAATTTAATGGTTTAACACAAAAGCAAAACTGATGAATATTACATCATGTGGCCTTCTTATCTGAGTACGTCTGACATGGTATTTTATGAACATTTATCCCTTATCAAGAAAGACGGACACATTTCTTTCTTAATTGCAGGCCTAATTGGTTAGCATCCGTTGCCTATTTAAAAAGCCACATCGTTGTTTTACTGATATTCACCAACATTTTTAAAATGTACGAAATGTGCATCCAAAGCTGTGCAACTGTCTAAAGACTTCCATCTATAAATATTACAGATACATTATTAACAAACTACCATACTTGGTATGATGGCAGAAAAACCATGGTATAACATCTTAAGAAAATATGGTATTGAAACTGATCGTTAACTTTTCAGAAAACAGGAACATCAAGACATAAAATAGACCATTTTGCAAAGCCCTCAAACCGCATGAAATGCAATCAGCAAGCAGTGAAGTGAACCAAAGTGTTTACCACTGTTTACAAAGTGTGTTCATATCCTTGCCCAAAGAGCTATTGCACATTAGTCAGGCCAGATAGCAGAAGGCCCCAAGGGAGCTTGGGAGGCATTATCCTAGCGGACTGCCTCATCTCTCTCCTCACTTTCGTTCTTACTTCCTCTTCCCCAAGGCCCTCTCTTTCCTCTCCTCCCTCTCTCTTTCACTGTCTCTCCTTCTCTAGGTCTGTCGAGTCTGTACATTCTCTCAGTTTCCCTTCCTACATTACACAGTGTCTCTGGCAAGCTAAACTGAAATGTTGGTGCCGTGTATTTTTTTTCAAAAAAAGAAGAATGTGTTTCCACTTACCACGTCTGTGGAGAGCTGAGGGGCCATGTCAGGATCTTGGGAGCAGAACCTGCACTGTGCTCACTCCTGGGCCTGCTAAGGACACGCTTCTCAACCCATTTACTGGACCGCATGTGGCAACAATCTGGGATAATTGTATAAAAAGACTTTAGCAGAAAGCTGTATTCTTATTGAAGGACGCGGTTCACAGTCCTCATATTTCTCAAAGAAAAAAGCAGAGCAACAGTGGCAGTTACGCTAGTTTTTTTTATTTTTAACATATGATGATGTTTTGGTTTATGAGACCTAATAGGCTTTGCACTTGATTAAAGTGCACACTGACCTGAACGTACAAATATCGCGGAAGAAACACTCTACCCAAGCTCCTATTAACCGAATGCTTCATCACGATGCATTCATTAACACATTTATTGTGAGTATTTTCCACACACACATTTGCTTTTCATCATTGTTGGGTTTTTTTAAAGGTTTGTCGGACTGTTTGTGCTGACATGGCGGCAAAGGGACAAGGTATTTTCGAACGGTCATCTTCGCTCACAGGGGGAACGGGGCCATATAAAAAACCAGGCTGTTCTAAAACTTCCTGTAAAAGCTTCTGCCCACACGAAATGCAATCATCGTGAAGTGAGGTGAACCGCAGCATTTGCCATTGCCGACGAGTTGGCTGTAAACTGGGGAGGGATGATAGGGAGGTGAGGGGTGGGTTTGTTTGGGCCTTCCTTCATTGAAGATGTTACCAATTGGTGATTCACTTCATTTATATCCCTGTCTTTTGAGCGCTGTCTAAAGATGATTTTTTTCTTCTTTCACTTTTGTTATTCGGCTATAGTGCTGGCATAGTGGTACAGTCCACTGGGTGCCTCATTAACCCAATATCTGATTCTACTGATGTGTCACGTCCGTAAACCAAGGTCCATAATGGTGTCACTTTGCCTGGCAGTGAGTGAATTGGAGGCTGTAAGACAGCAGCGTCGTCAAAAAACATAGCAAACCTGGAATGCACGGCATGCAGTGCCCTGCTTCAGCTGCTTTTTAAAAATAACACCAATTATGTGCATTCCCATGTCAGATTTCTCAACGGATTCACAATTTCAGGCGACACGGGATTGGTGGCTAAATGCAGCAGAAGGTGGCAGTGGCTGCGGCTCTCCAGTGCGTGTGAACTACAGAGAGCTCGGTAGGTAGTCGGCCCTGCGGGCTCGAATAGTCCTCGGGCTGTCACAAAATGTGGATTCTCTGAATCCCACACCACAGCAGTTAAGCCAGAGCATTCTCACCTTTTGTTATCCTGCAATTGAATTGTGACCTTTAACACTCATGGGTTACTATGGTCAGTAATATACAGTGTAGAGTAATGACAATAATAAATATCACCCCTTTGTCAATCTACTGCTGGATGAAGGCTTCCTGACACTGTGCCGATCTTAGGGACTGTTTGGCTTTGTGCGGGTTGATGAATAGTTGGGATATCGGTGGCTGAAAATCAAACTCAGGTTGCTGGATTCACAGCTAGCTGCAAGAACCAGTGCAACGTCACTCCATATTAATAATTCCAGAATGTATGTGTTTTATAAGGTGTTTATTGATGTATTGTACATAATGAACATCGATTATTTCTTAATAGCTTTCTGCCAGTGTAACCTCTGATATAGATAGCATGCAGGACAGCATTTCACGAACTTTGCCAAAGTCAGTGCCGGTTATGGCGTGTTTGCCTTGGCAATGTTTAGTCTCGCTTGCTTACTTTGGTAAGTGTTGGTGTTACCGTCTCAGCTCTTTCTGTTAAATTAAATATTGTGATAGTGTTATGGCCACACGGTAAACAAGGATGTCCACATCAAAACAAGTGCTGGCACGTGTAATCACTTTGCGTAATTTGTACCTCATTCATTAAGTGGTCTGTTCATTGACAGGTCTGAGGCACGATTTGTACCTAAGAGTCCCAAGTAAATATAGCTTTGTTGAATATAGAATCCATCGGACGTAAATTTTACATTCATGCTTTATAAACCACATCATCGTCAGAAATGTGGGGGAATTTTATGTCACGGCAGGATACAGTATTGTGCATTTAGACACAAACACATTCACACATTCACAAGGTATACAGCATACAAGGTTAAAAGACTGGAAAACATTACCAATGGGAACACAGAACTATTTGTGGATGTACAAAATGTGTTTAAAACCATTACCATTCGTGGAAATGTTTGTTCATAAATTGTCCGTGACACTGCACACATACTTTACGAATGATAATCTGCAAACAATTAAGCAATCCAGTGCTCAGCAGCCGATCCATTACTCTTGAAATACAAGTGGCTGAGCAGTATATCTCGTGCATAGATAATATCCATCCTAGTGTGTTTTTTTTGTTATTGTTGCACTCAACACGACGTTGGTCAACACGTGCAGCACCTTTAGCGCAATCTTCACCTGCTTCGGGAGGATCGCCGGTCCCAGGTTGAATTCCTCATGCCCCATGAACGGGAGTCGAGCATTGCCCCCCCTGAGCTTCTCTCAGCGCCCATCTGTTTTCCGTCACAGAGATCAAGTCACACGTGTTTCGTATCATGGTGGCGGGTTGCCTCCTCATCGGTTCGGCCAGAAAAAGCTAGACACGGTGTTTATTTGGTAAAAGGTTAAGATGAAATGCCTGCTGGATTCCAGTAAAACAATAGCGCTTTTTCTGGCACTACCCGCTCTGAGGTCGCAAGTTCTCCGCTTGTACTCCGCGCCGTCCAAGTGACGCCTTGGCTAGCGAGCCGTGGCATGTGTGGCCAAGATGAAGTGGTGGACAGCGGTCTTCAATGATCCCTACTTCTCTTTTGTTTTGGAAGCAGCGAGCGCTGCCAGGCAAAGCCAGCAGCAACAGCCAGAGCTTTGAGGATGCAAATCTGTGTAATGGACGCAGCTGCCCCCACAGTAGGCCTGTGTTGCGGTCACATGGAGCTTTACATGGCTACTATTCATGAGAACAATGCCTGCAGGACACTTGGCACACTTGTTAACTCTTTGCGTCTACTTGTGCGTATATTCCTTCTTCTCTTGTGCCTTAAAAAAGCACATGAATCCTGGCACTCTTGTAGCAGAAACCACCAGGGGTTTATTATTTATTTATATTCAATTGAAGGTTCCAACCAAGGCCAAGTAGCTAGACTTAGTCACGTGCTTGAGAGCATCACTGATGCTCTATTGTGCACGGACATAGGTGCAGCACTAGTCGTTCGCCAGATTTGCCCTGGCGAGAGCAGTGTCTGTTAAATTCGTCTAATGATGAATAGGAAATTGCTTTGCAGCAATTTTGTGGGCCAGATCGTATTTTGAGGCGTGTGCAAATTTTAACGCCTTTGGAAGTGTTCGCGTGGCGACGGCGCTGTTTTATTTAACTTTTCACTGCAATGTACCGTTACTAATTCTGCGTGTGTTTTTTGTAATCGGCACTTTCATGTCTGGATGGAGCAGCTTTTTTGCGTATAAAGATTACCAACATTCGGCTGAAGACTAATAAAAGTCACGTAAAATTTTCACAGCGTGTCTTTTTAAAGTGCCTCGGGTTAGATCAGTCCCGTTGTGCTCGAGTGGGCCTCCGTACTGGTTGCATGCTCCGAATGGCCCCAGATCCCACTGCCAATATTTGTGTTGTCCGTGCGATTGATGCTGTGGTGCTTGATATGCGTCCGTGTGACCACAAAGGCAGTGGACCCTGTGCCTGAAATAACTTAACGCTTGCCCCTGGATCTTGTCAGACATGGCCCATATGTCATTGTTATTTATGCCGCTGCAGGCTTCTGCGCCAGAAGACCTTTAGAGCCATCTGCTCGCAGCTCGTGCTGGCCTTGCAAAATACGACTCTGAATCCAAACATTGGGCAACCTTTGGGAGAAGCGAGATGGTTGGAACGCACGTTCCAAAGTGCATATTTTTCTCATTAAAACCGAAACGCTTGATAACCATCATTGTAGCGTGAGATCGCGATCGTTGAAGATGTAAAACATGTCCCTTTTTGATTGCTGCATGGGCAATGTATAAAAACTCAGCCAAGAGCCTAGAATTGCTTCATTTGATTTCTTTAAAGTAAAAAAAAATCTCCTTGTTAACATACATTACAAGTAACACATTTGGACAACTACAATGTGCAATGAGGATAAATCACTGCGTTGGCAGTGGTGCACAAACACAAAGAACGAAAACTCAACACATGCGTCAAAAACACTGCCCCAAAGAGGACAAAAAGTACGTGAAGTGGTGACATCACAGGCAATGGCCCTTCGTCGTAGCAGAGAGATGATCTTTCTCTTTCGGCATTGTCACTGACAAACGTGTTATTACAATTTTTGTCAAGCTGCGCCTGGAGAGCAATGCACGCTCTGCTGTAATTTATCCGGATTTGCCGACAAGCATTATCAACTGCAACCACCTTGCGGAGACATGTGCGTGATCGTGTGCATACAAGCAGCTTGCCGGGGAAGCGGCACTTCCCCTTTAATCAGAAATGCGCTGAACCAGGGTCTGTGCCACGCGTCACGCAATAGCTACACAGGCAGGGCCGATAGCTCTACATTCCACATGAAAGGAGAGTTTCACCCAAGACCTGTGCACTCTTGAATGTAATGGATTCGAAGAATGTGCGTCCGTTAATCGGCTGGTGTCACTCGAGCGTAGTTGAGGATCTTTCAGATTGCGTCTTAACAAGACACTGGAGGATTTCAGAGATGGTTGTTGCAGACACATTTATTTGCCAAGTTTGAAGGAATACCAACTTAAATGAGCTGTTGGGGGCGATTGAAGCATTAAATATGAAGGAAGTCAGAGTGAGGGAAAGGATTTGAAAGGATCCCTTTCAGACATGCTATGTCACATCTTTAGCTGCGGATCCCGGTGAAATATTTATGGGGAAGAACATTTTCAATATTCTGCCTCTTGTGGTGATCTCGCAAACTTTCATGTCCCAGCTACAATGTAATATTGCACACATGCTTATTATGTTGAACAGGGCCCCAAAGTTTAGATGGAGTGGTATTGCCACGAACATTTGGCAGCCCAGAAGCATTTGTTCACGAGCATGACTGTTGATGAGCTCCAGAAGGTCAAAACAGGCCCAGAGTTTGCTTGCTTAAATAAATGTTGATGGACAATATTGATCTGGAAAGCCAATAGGCTGATAGCCTAAACAAATCTCTGTTGTATGTGAAGGCCCAGAATACAGTTCTATATTTATATTTCACTCCAAATACGATATTAGAGAAGATTTGCAAGTTATGACAGAATTACATGAACCAACTCTGACTCATATGTAATTATACTTAACAACATTGTCTTGGCCTGTAAACAGCACAAATATGATGTGCAGGAAATAATTTCAGATGTTCCTAAACAACAATGTGCTAGTTAAACTGCAACCTCATACATTATAAATTGTGGGGCTTAATCCCAGGAGTTGATTTTACCTGGTTCTTTGAAACTCCCCACTTTTGTCTTTCTTGGTTCAAAATACAATTTAATGATTGCATGCAGTTGTTGTCAATATGACAAACTCTTTTATTTCCTTAGCATGTTGAGAAAGTTACTTGACGTGTTTTCTGGTTGCACCACACTTGTGGTACGGCACGCCATCCAAAGTTTCACTCCACATGCTTAGGTCCCATTCCTGAAGTAGCTATCTGGCACGTGAAGTGAAATGCAAAACATCACGCCGAACAACACGCGGTACGACCCGATAACTCCCTGGAGAGATATGCAACGCAACCTATGCAGCAGCAGCAGCAGCAGTGTGTTAAAACGACCATGCCTTGGCTTCCTCCTCCCCCACCCCAAACATTTGCAACCAAGAACATTATATCTCATCTAATTGCTGCTGCTTGCGTTGTGGGATGATTTTTTTTTCCCTTCAGTTTTATCCCCCAAGGGGACATATTAAACCTCGCTGGATGCCTGTGGTGTGTGGGGGAGACCACCGCACTAGAAACGCCGCACCGCGGTCGCCGGGTTAGATGGCCGCTCGTCACGCACGTGTCCACAAATAAGAGCCCAACTGATTTTTACCGCCCTTGTGTCAAATTTCCAAGTCCTGAAATTGCAAGCGCACATGGGGCCCACCCAGCCTCTTGTGAAGTGCTTCTGCGGTAGCCGAGCTCATTCGGCGCACTAGCAGGCCTCCCTCACATGAACTGGAGATGCGATGGTAATGGGACAATATCTGGTTAACGGTGGCGTAACTATGCATCGTCGATTTAGCATTGCTTCTTAACGCTCCTATTATACGTATCAAGGTGCGTGCGGCGCAAGAAGGAATGGTTTCTTTAATTCATTTAACGATCTGCGAATATAACATTTGAGTCCTATGGAATGAACAAAACTGTACAAACAAACAGAAAGAAGAAAGTACAAGCGAGACAGAAAATAATTAAATCTTAATTAATGACATCCCTAAATCGTGGAAGTTCATGCATTTGCTAAGAGGTGGGAGTTGATGGCTTCACTGCCCCGCTGGCTACACAGATTTGTTTTATTTCTGCATAAACTTTGTATCCATAAATTATACAATGGCCGATGTCGTGGCCACTATTGTCATCATTGGACATGTGCGCGGTCTTATATAAATATAAGACTACAGCTGTTTAAGCCGAGTACTTAAAGTGGGTTTGCTTAGCTGGTTGAAGTTTGCTGGCCGTCTAAGAGTTAAAAAAAATAATTTTATATTATTTCGTAGATGCAGTTGAATCCATTCATTTAAAATTGTAGCGCCACACTTCACATTACTTGGTCTAACAAAATCTTTATTTTTGGGACAATGGATAATGCTTGCATGTGGACTTTTACTTACGCATTTCAGCGTATCGCTCGTTTCATTTGATCTTTATAAGTAAATAAATAACATTTAAACGGTATTGCCTTTCATCCACGTGCGTACAGTTCGTGCACTTACGTTAAACCACGCACGTGGTGCTGATTTTTTTTCTCCTGCCGCGCACCTGATGGCTATGGCCTAAATTGCACAGTGCACCCTTCTGTTTCAACTTTCTTCCACAGTCCCCCCCCCCCTCCTTGTCCGTTGTGCACCTGCAATGGCCCAATGCAGGATTTGAAAACTGGGACAACTCCACCAGCCTGCACCGACCTAGAATTTACCCGCCTACTCTCCACCCTCTGTCCTCTGCTACCCTGGTGTCTTCCTCTGTTGAGGAAAAAAGAAAGACTCGTGGAATTGATCGTTTTGACTCGTGAATGGGTCGTAATGTCTTTGTACCCCACATACCCAACATAGTTGGCATCTTGCCCCTTCCGCTGTGTCTCCCTGAAAAGGCTAAGCTGGTGTCGTCTTTTGCCAACTCGCCAGCAAAAAAATATTAATCGGCCCTTATTTCCTCAATTTTTATACCCTGCATGTTAGCAAGTCATTATCTGCTAATTCCGTGACAGTGGTTGCCTTTGAACCCATGGAAAAATACGGTGGTTGCAGATTTTTGTGGTCGCACAAGGAAACGGAACACGTTTGTAGGCGTTTTTATCCAGTGCAAACAATTCTAGTTATTTCCATCATCGCTCGTTTCAAGGCCACGAGGGCCTCTTGAGCCGCGGACACCTGCTGCTGTCAGGCCATTACATACTCCTGTCATCCTGTATTACTGTATTCGTATACATACTTCATAGACTGCCATCTTCATCTTACCATACGCCCGCTTAACATTGCCGCTGGTCTTTTCATTTGTCTGCCTTTGTCAAGCCGCCGCTGGATAAAGACCTCCCCATACAGTGTCAGTCTTGGGGTATTTTTCACCATACTTCACCAGTGTTGCTCAATCCGGGTTTGGATATCACTCGCCACTGATGCCATGGCTGGGAAATGAACCCAGGTCACCGAGTTCATCGTGCAATGCGCTAACCACTACACCCACCACTCCACCTGCTTTTCATTTATCAATGTTGAAATTACATTAGAATATCAAAAAGTCAAACTGCTGTGTGTCTAACAGCAAAACATTGTGTTGTTTAGTGAATCCCATGAATATAATTGGCACCTCAAACTCTTCCTGACAAAATGTTTGATGGATTCTTCACTACACTCTCAACAGTTTCAACTTGAATACTTAGATTCTTAAACTACTGAAAACATTGTAAACATTCTAACTTGTGGGCTACATTTACAATTGTACTTCTGTTTAACACGTAAGTTTTCGCGACCAATATTATTCATAATATTATGAATTCTACTTCTGCTGCATTGCAACCAGACAAATATACTTATTTCTCCATCTGATGAGCTTGATAAAAAAAAAAGTTAAAATGAATACATGAGAAAAAATTGAAAAGTAAAACTCAACATGTTGCGCTTAAAAGTGTGGTATGTTTCGTTGACTGACGCCACCAGAGAGAGAGATTTTCATTCCGTGACGGTTCGTTTTGGAGGATCTGTCAGAGATAACACGCGCAGGAATGACTTGGTAGCCGCGTGTGTACCTTCGCCGGCAATGGATGTCTATTAGAAACACGTGGCCTATTTCAACGCAGTTGAGGTGAGAGTGGACAACACACGCTCGCGCAGTGTGTGGTATCACACTACCTACTGTGTGTACTAGAATGGAGACGCCAGCAAGCGTTTCAGGAATGTCACTCATTAGACAGCCGTTTCACACAAGCGCACCGTTGTTTTTGCTCACGTGGTTGTAATGTGCTGGGTGTAAAGTCCTCTCCCGTCGGTTCGCCTAACCGTCGCGCCGGTGTTAGCAACTGAGTTAAGGCAGCAGATCCACAGCAGCCCTGTGATGCGGGAAGGTGTTATGTCTATTTTTTTTTATTTGACGAGGAAATGTAAAATTATTATTGACTGCAATCGTGTATAGTATGCATTGTACTTGGGAGAGTTTTGTAACCTGCTTGATAAGTAACAAATTCATGGACATTGTAAAGTAATGGGTTATGAAGGAATACCTGGATTTATTGTGTCAAGTTTTTACTTGCAACCAGCTATTCCACAAATTATCCATCCTGACAGTTAAAATGTCAGTATAATTCGAGTAATACGTTAAGATTTTTGTCTTGGAAACATGCATAAGAATGTTAATATGAGTGGCATCATCACAGTTAGCTCACACATGATTGTAAACAGTTTTAAAACAGATCTACCACGTTAAAAAAAACTCAACACATTGGCTGTTCTTTACAGCAGATACATTTATCACTCTGCTATAAAAAAAACACACAGTCTTTAAAATATGCTTTCTTTTTCAGGCAGTTTTATTGATGATTCTGTTAAGTTAGCGCTATTTGTGCTTGAGCACCACTGCCAATGCGGTACCAAAAAAAACAAATCACATTTCTTTTGATTCTTTAAATCGTGTTCACAGAATTGATACGGTTTACAGCGCTCTCCTTGTGATGACTGCCAATGGCGATGTCAGTGTCTCTCCCGGCTTGGTTGCGGCAAGACGGAGATGTGTTGTGGGCATCACACACTCACCTCCCTGTGCTTGTTTCTCTAGGCTCTGTGTAACGCTGGGCAAGGGAGCTGAGTTCGTCTGCTGCTCACCTGTGTGTGTTGTCACCGAAACAGAAAAACCTAAAAAAATCCCCACGGGGTCTGCATGTGTGCACAATCAATGTCTCGAGAAACAAATGTGCAGCTCCAGTAAGAGCTAGATAATCTCAAGAGCATTCATATGCAAGCGAATTGTAGGACAGAAAAACAACAATAAAAGCAAGCATTTCACATTGTTAGGCCCCAGACGCGAATCAGAGCCGACGTCTGACTCACTTATTATTTTTCTGAAGCGCAATTTATAATTCCTATTTATGTTTTCAAAAAAGCGAGGCTGATAAATAAAGCTTCAGTAAACCAAAGTAATTGCTTCAAAAGTATTGCGCACATAATATGCTGCTTTCAAAACAACAAACTATTTATTTTCTATATAAAGCAGTGCTTTTGTTTTACAGATCTCATTGATTACAAGTCAAGGCCTTTCTATCATAAATATATCATGTTTATATTTAGTATAACAAAAAATATATCCAATTTCCTCTTCCTGTGCGGAAGTTTACATTTTTTGCTCCTCCTGTGATTCACAGACACTCTTTTATTTGTGTCACGGGTAAGGACTTGTTTTTTTTGTTAGGCACTTAAATACCCTCGCCCCCTTCGTGCTCCCGCTCAATGTTTACCCCTCCGTCTCTCCCCCTCCTTCTCTTCCACAGGGGTGGCATGAATGGTAGGACATAGAGCTCTACCAAGTACAGGCCATGGCACCACGCAAGCGAGCACGGGGGCTGTGGTGTCTGCTGTGCTGCTTCGACGGGTGCCAGAGGGACGAGCCCCCACAGATCACACATGGCCTCACGCTGCACCGTGACCACGTCTCCTCCATCCATGCCCTGGAGGCCCCCATGCCCATGCCTTCTCAGGAGGAGCTGGACATGCGTTTCTCCGAGCTTGTGGTGAGCCCATCGATCGGTCCTCCTCTCTGTCCTTGACTTCAGTCGTGCACAGAAACAAAAGTGATTTCCCTTCTCAAATGAGCATTGATAGTGGTGCTCATCTATGGCGGTTGACCTCCCCACAAACTGGTACTATTTTTTTTATCACCCCCCCCCTCACCAGAGAGATGATGGGTTGAGTCGATGCCAAAACAAGATTTGAAAACTCGCAGCTTTGCAGTTGCGAGCCACGCACTTGACTGTTGCCTATGTACAGCCCATTTGTCAATCTGCTGCTGGATGAAATATTGATGTGCCGTGATGATGCCGGAGGTAAATTATGCTGTTATTATTATCGTCGTGTAAATGGCACATCATTATATTTGATCCGTTATTTTATCTTTCAAATTAATAAGTACGTACGAGAATAAAAACCTCATCTTCAGCCTGCACGATTATCCGGTAAAATACGAGGACACGCCCTTGTTAACGTTTTTTTTACACTGCCAAAATGACATCGCTGAACTGAGCGCATAATACGTAGCCTGCAGAACTCATTCTATACACTTGTTAAACCTGTATCAAATGTGAAAACCGTACCGACAACAGGAGCAATTTCCAGAGGTACAATGTACGCACTGGTGAATTGCAAATAAGGTTTCGCTTTTCGAAAGAACGATTCCCCAAGGAGAAAATCCGAGCATTTTCCGCATACCTATAATCCCCCGACAGTCACTTTGGAGGATTGAGAGCAGACTAGTGGAATTGTTTCCCTTTACGCAATGTTTTTTTTGGAGTGGTGGTACTTATGTATGGATTACCTCCCATCGCTTCAGGACAGTCACCAGAATCCGATATAAATAAAGAACTAGTTTACATCTTTTGGTGTCTTTGTGCACTGCCCAGTAATGTTGAGCATGTTGATTTCATTATAAAATACGGAATATATAAAGTGGCATTGATGTAAAGTAAAAAATATATACATTTTATTATGCGAATTCGCAGCCAGTTCTGCTGAATCCCACTTCTGGCTTGCAGTAAAGCATCACTTTCCTGCAAATGTCGCCGACGCAGGAAACGATTTCCCCCCTCAACTGCGAACATTCTGCTCCACAGAGCTCCGCCGCATGATTACGACACACGGACTCATTGTTTGTAGGGGGGCGGGGGGCACGGTGGGGGGCGGGGAGGGAGGTCGATCTCATTCTCGCCATGCTCACCTCCCAGGAGGCTCATAACGGGCGCTCGTGCGCGCGTGTGGGAACCCCGGCTACAGGGAGGGGACTACGGGGAGGGGACGTGTGAGAAAGGCACAGCAGGCGAGAGCGGGTGACCCCACGGAACCCACGGTCCCGTGCGCGCACACGGGGAGGGATCGCTCGCAGAGTCCATAAAACGGTCGCACACTGTCCTACTTGGCCCATCTTCAGTTCTTGCTTCTATCTGCCGTGACTCTGCCGGTTCTGTGCTTGCTGAGGTCATGGCTGTTCACAATAGGTAATATCTCCAGGCCGTGTGTCTTTGAACGCCACACACGGTGAATGTAAACTAAACCAATAAAGTTTTTGATTAAAAGCAAAACCGTCCCCAGTAATAATTTTCCTATATTGTTTTTTTTTCCTCGCAGTGTTAAGACACTGAGGATTTATGGTGGGATTTCATGGCAATTTTGGAGAGCGGGTGCATTGCCTTCTTATATTTTTTTACTCAAGGGAGACTCATGTAGATTGCAATCAGAATAAGATAAAGGGAATGACTGGGGGAAGAGGGGGAATTACTCCCTGTGAGTGTGTGTGTGTCTGGCTCTGTGTGTTTGGAGCGGTAGTGTAGTGGTTAGCGCGCTGCACTACGAACCTGGCGAACCGGGTTCGATTCCCGCTCACGGCAAACACCAGTGACGATTATCTGAACCGGTCCTGGGCCTCCCCTAGGTCGACTCAGCCTCAAATGAGTACCTGGTGCGGTGTGTAAACATCGCCGCTAGGGAGACAAAGGCGGTCGGGCGTGGTGCTGGCCCACCCACCCCCTCGTGTACCGTTCCGGCCTTCATAGGTGCTCGCTAACAGCACTTGCCCCTACAGTCTGTTAAGGCTATACGGGGGATCTTTGTCTTTGTCTTTGTTTGAGTGAAGGGCTGTTTCATTTACCAGGCTTGACCTTCATTTCAAAAGGTCCACCCAGGGGAAAGGTGGCCTAAATCGGTGATCTCTGAGGGCTTAACCAGTGTGTTGCCTGGAAACAGAACTGCATTGCTATTGCTGTTGTGTTCATGTGCATGCGATGGGCCAGTTTTATTCACGACTGAAAATTACAATTTCGTTAGTTCTCTCTGTGAATTCAATTGAGCAATACAACCATACTGCATCTGATACTTGTAAGGGGTGGAGTGATGGTTGTAGTCATTATTACACTGCACTATGAACCCGCAATCCTGAGTTTGATTCCCAGTTATGGCTCATGTCAGCTATGAGTGATATCTAAATCAGTCTTGGCACCCCCATTTACGATCAAACAATCACCAGAGTGAGGAGGTATGGTCAAAAAAACTCCACGACGAATACAGCGTGGGGAAGGATGAATCCAACAGTGGATTTATAGAGGGGTATAAATGTTCATTATTAGTTGTGGAGAATGTTTGAAATGTGCTCATAAGACTGCTACTGTTATAAATGTAATTCTATTGTTGTTCATTAGTCGAGGATCTCCAACATATTTATAGAGATGAAATCACGTTACTCAGTGGTATAGCCCTACAGTCAAGTCATGTGACAACGCCAACAAAAAAAAATCAAGAGATCTTTTAAAAGGATGTGTAATAAAAGTTATTTGTATAAGTGCAACTCATGATGACAAATTTGAGCGCATCAACCTTTTTATGAAATAAATTCAACTCTTCAACTACAGCAACGAGTCATTAACAGTCTGAAACTCATGACCATTTAGATGTGTGCGGACACACAGAGGGGAGATGGCAGGGGTGCGAGATTGCGGATGGACAGTTTTGCATACAGCTCAATCTAAAATCTAAAATCTAAAATCTAAAATCTAAAATCTAAAATCTAAAATCTAAAATCTAAAATCTAAAATCTAAAATCTAAAATCTAAAATCTAAAATCTAAAATCTAAAATCTAAAATCTAAAATCTAAAATCTAAATCTAAAATCTAAAATCTAAAATCTAAAATCTAAAATCTAAAATCTAAATCTAAAATCTAAAATCTAAAATCTAAAATCTAAAATCTAAAATCTAAAATCTAAAATCTAAAATCTAAAATCTAAAATCTAAAATCTAAAATCTAAAATCTAAAATCTAAAATCTAAAATCTAAAATCCAGCATATTACAGTCTACAAACTTTCCCACTCATTAAATCAAGCGCGACGGTGGGGAGTTTTGGACCGATGGTGAATATAATCTTCCTTGCTACAGTCGTGAACATCTCGCTTCTTAAAGGGCTGGAGTTGTCCCAATTTATTGTGACGTGTGTTCATAATTTCCAGCAGCCCCGCTTATGTATTATTCTGTAAGTGGCTGCTTCTGGTAAGTTTTAAGCAAAAACAGCGTGTTATTTTTCAGGTAAAACTCTTACGCATGCACACAAGTTTGGAACATTCTATAGTAGTAGATTTACAATGAACACATTTATATAACGTAACATTTGTAGAATGGGTTTAAAAAAAAACACAAGACTCCAATCGTGTTTTTAAATCTTCACAGCGTATTGGGAAGAATGGTGGCGCAGTGCTAAACAAACAACGAACCCGGTGACCTGAGTTCGATGCCCAGCCATGGTTAACATCAGCAGTGAGTAATATCTGAACCAGTCCCAGGCCCCACCCTTTCATCAACCTCCACTGACCAGCATAGCGAAGTACGGTCAAACAGACCGACATGGCGTGGGAAGCAGGGGCGGTTTCTTCATTAGGGCGATTGGGCGACGCACCACCAATGTCATTGAACCACAGTCACGCTAGCCGTCACTGCAGCCTCTGGATATAGTACAATCAGCGTCATGTCACGTTCTGTGGAGTACCGCCTCTTTTTGGGCGATTTCACTCCGGCTGAGAATCGCCCCGAGTGGCCCCATAGACTTACATTCAAAGATGATTTTTTTCGAACGGGGGCGCTGCAATGCATTCTCTATGGCTTCCGGGAGGGCTCGCCCTAACGTGCTTACGTCATCACACGTAAGCACGTTTCATCCAACAATATAATTTGTGGCCACCTAGTGGAATCTTTAATAAAATAAACTTGAGTGGTTTGTTTTAATAGTGAGTATAGAAACAAACAAGATGTATTGTAAGAGTCACTTTATTTTTCATTAATATTAAAGAAGTGAAGTTGCCTTTACATGCTTAAGCTGTTAATTTATTCATTGCATGGGTGGACCTTAATCATCCAGACATTTGCCCCCCCTGAGAGATTTTGCAGGAGCCGCCACTGGTGGGAAGGCCTTCACACAGCAGTGGATTGACAAAGGGCTGTAAATTATTATATTCGAGGGTAGAATGCATCAGGTGACATGAAATGTAACCAAAGGATAACAATGGTTTAATTTATATGGAGACCATTTAAAAGTTGTGGGCAAGGAGTCAAATAAAACAACTGCCATTGCTGGCAACGAGTATTGCGGGTGTGAGGAAAGAGAACTAGGCCCAGCACCTTGGCTGGAGAGCAGTGGAAGAAGGCCACATGTGTCGACTGACGCACAAGAAATTATTGTATGCGGAAAGGGAAGCTATTGTCGTTTTGCAAAGCACAGCTGTGAGCTGGGCAGGGAAATGACTCAGAGGCACGCTCGGGTCGAGCGGTCCGATTTTAACTCGGTTGTTTCTAAGCCCTTGTGTTCTCACGTGTATGAGTCTCAGCGGCCTGATCGAGCTTGTATGCCCTGTATCTGCTCATCGTAATCATCGTCACCATCAGTCACGATTAATCCACTGCTAGATGCAACCATCCCAAAGGCCATTGCCATCTGTCACAGTTCTGCAGCGTAGCAATCCATCTGGCTCCTGTGCACAGG